TTCCACATGTTCCTCCGAACTGTACACGCTCTCTCACAAGGCACTAACCACGTCTGCCTTATGCATCCGTATTCCACCAAGTGGTGAATATCTATAACGGAAGAATTGGGAGACATGTTGCTAAACGAAACAAACCATATATAAAGGATAGGTTAGTGGCGTATCCTTTACAGGACGTTGCAGAACCAACCCAGCAGTCCCTGGCTGTTGTGTGGTTTCTCTAGGCATATTTACGTCCAGTAGTTTGCCATTGCTTTTTGGACGGTCGGCCCCCTGATACCACTGTCGAAACCAACGCAATGCGCATGGCTCGCAGCTGGGATCGAACCCGGCAACCCGGCATTACGGAGCGTTCGCATCGACTTAGCCACAGAGCAGACACATACAGGATAGAAATTAGTAATATATGGGAATTTTTATGTGGTTTGCAGGTATGGGCGTCCCACGGACTTGGGTGCGTTGAGCCACCCGTCCTCTAGAAACATGTTAGTGTGAGCTCAACCCCATCTCGAGGAATCCGAGAGTTCCCAGGGAAAGTCCAGTAATTAGGTGGAGGGGGTGTTAGAGTAAGTCGGTGCCCATTTCACCCCTATAATATTGGACTTTCCCAGGGCCCTGTACACATTCAAGTGCATGAATTAATGCATACATGTGTGGTTTTAAGATAGTCCTAATCATTATCGGTGTTGCTAAGCTGTGCCGAGAAGCTCTACGTGATCTGGGGAATCCCCTTGTAGATATATCGGTGGGCACAAGTAAGCTGGAGTCGCTTCTTCTTCTTCTTCGCGTTCACCAGCTGTACACTCTGGCGGATCGTCCACTACTGAACTGCAGTCCTGCTCCAGAACCTGAGTGTTGCGTGTGCATCAGTTTTACAGATCTCATTCTCTTGAATACAGACTGTTGGTTCCTTGCCTTTCCGGCAGATGCATTCCAACTTCAAAGGAAGCTCCCCAGTTAGTCGACTCTTACGACATGCTTTTGGGGAGGCAGTGGGTCTATTCTGGTTTTCCCCACAATGGGGCCCCGGAACCCACACAGCAGGGGGAGTCGCTTCTGAAGATACCTGTATGTACAGGAAGAAGATGTAGACATTAATCATGAATACTTATTCTCCTCCTCCTTCTCTTCTTCCTCCTCCTTCTTCTTCTTCTTCTTCTTCTTCTTCTTCTTCTTCTTCTTCTTCTTCTTCTTCTTCTTCTTCTTCTTCTTCTTCTCTGCGTTCTTCTTCTTCACTTCCTCTTTTACCGCTGTGGGTGTCGAGGGAGATATAAGGTTCTGTTTCTAGCTCTTCTGGCTGCCTCGACCATAGGCACATAGTGCTCTGCGTTCAACGGCTGTAAACTGCGGCGGAATGTTCTGGTTATTCGTCCATTTCTAAACATTAGTCTTGTTCCGGAACTTGAATTTTGTGTGCACATCCAATTTGCAAATTTGGCTTATTTTTGTATGCAGACTGCTGGTTCCGTGCCTCTCAAGCAGACGCACTTCTTCGAAGGAAACACCCCTAATTAGTCGACGTTTAAGGTTAAATTCGAGAAGATCGACTTAGTTGCATCGGGTTTTATCTGCAGAACGGATAGCCGCCTACCAGAAGCATTGCACAAAGCACTACCTCTGTAACTCCGGCGACATAAAGTTATACTCATGAACTGAACGGCGCAGTCGTGAAACGAACCCACGACCTTCAGAGCGCGAGGCAAACGGCTTGACCACTTCGATGTTTTCTAGACGATTGCAGTGGGTCTATTTGTGTTGTCCCTACTGCTTAGGGCTTGTAAGCCAAAACGTCCAGTAGAATATGAAACCGTTTTAATTTCTTTCTAAATGGTCTTAATTTTTCTTGTTTCTATGGTATAATACAACCCTGTGTGCCGACTCAGAGAAAACACCAGGAGAGGACATTGCAGACGGCCTAATTCTTGTTTAAATGAATAATAATAATGTGCAAGGTGAAAACAAATATAAAATATATTGACATAATATATGTATAAACAAAAATTTATAAAGAGAATTTTAGTACATGGCTAGAAAAGGGGAAGAGGTGAGGTATCAAGGTTCTTAAGTTCCAGATTCTGGCTCCCTGATGCATGGTTTGGATTGAATGTTGTCCCCATCTTCAGCAGCAGTAAGAAAATAATAGACAGATAGATGGACATACGGCTCTTCTTTAAATAACGGTCGCTAGCTGGAAGGCGACGGTCGCTTAGTCGGAGTTTACTCCCTTGGTTACAGTGCAAATACGGAGTGGTAAAGAGGGAACGAAACACATGACATACTTACCTGTCATGCTACGGTTGCTTTGGGTTAGGCTAGGCTTAGGGTTTGGGTTAGGGCTTGGGTTAGGGTAACACATGTAGCGTCGAGTACTTACCCATAATAACGGCCGCTATATGTGAACATTTTCTTGTTTTTGATTCGTGACTTGTCCACTCCGTATTTGCACTGCAGCCAAGGGAGTGAACGACTAAGCGACCGTCGCCTTCCAGCTAGCGACCGTTATCTAAAGGAGAGCCGAAATTCCGTCTGCCGCCTCGTGCACTTTCCAGCAGTCACCTTTATCTTGTACCCATCTTCGGGTTGGTCTGCCCCTGTCCCTCCTTCCTAGTAACACGTCTTCAGCTGTTACTTTTTGCCACCCGCCGTGGTGCTTGGTATGACCAAAATATAATAATGTTTATTAGTACATCTTCCTTGATGTTCAGATCTTTTAGAATGTCAGTATTTCTCTTCTTTGTCCGTAGTATTTACTAGTATTTTGGAAATCTGTCTGTAGCATTTCAGCTCAAAAGTCTTTTTTTTTGTCCTTAAGGACTAAGAGATATTCGTATGTTGCTACTGAAAAAGTGAATGCTCTTAAAATGTTAACTTTAGTTTCGTTGCTGGTGCCCAATCTTAGACTTTTAATGATGTTTAAACAAACTATCTTGGGACAGCATTCACTGAAGATAGTAAATTGGAACGTAGAAATTGACATCTTATGCAGTAAAGCTGGCTAACTATTGGGACAGCTAGCTCCCATCTTACAGCATAAGGCAATCCCAATCAGCACAAAGAAACATCTCATACAAAGCGTATTCATTCTCACCCTATGCTTTCAGTACCAGACGTGGTCACTGACAACAAAACATAAAAGAAAATTAGTAACCATGGAATTGAGGTGTCTGAGAAAGACTGTAGGAGTGACCAGAAGATATAAAATCAGAAATGCGTTCATACGAGATAAAGTCGGCACAAAACTAATTCTAAATTACATGCAACGACAGCAAATCAAATGCTTTGCCCACTTGGAGAGAAGGCCTTCCGATGCTATACAGTACAAGGCATATGCAAAATGAGGAGAGGGGCGTAGAGCAAGAGGCAACAAAGAAAAATATGAAAGGATAACATCAGAGAAACGCTACAGCCCCACGATGTGTCTATGGTCGAAGCAGTCAGAAGAGCACGAAGCATGTGCTTACATCTCCCTCGACACCCAAAGCGGTTAAAGAAGACGTAAAGAAGAAAAAGAAGAAGGCACACTAGACAGTATAAAAACCGAAAACTATAATCACCATGCCGACAATAACAACTTTCACCGCCAAAGGATGATATCACCCCGCTGCAGAAATAAGTGTGCTAAGAGGCATGCAACTAGGCACCTCAAAAAAAAGTGTTTTTGTTAGTCATATATGAGGTACAGCTTGAGCTCACAACAGTAGAGATACACAGAATGCTTCATCTCAAACTATTAAAACGTCATCATAGGCGCACCATTGAACGTCCGTATTCCATAGTTGTGGGTTGAGGTCGTTGTCTTTTTTTTTCTTAGGTAAAGGACATGGTTATGTGAAACGGAAACGGTGATACACGGGGAACAACTAAGGCATCTAGTAATAAACTACAAACATCAATCAACTGGTGCCTGCGCAGAATAGAAGGAATTAAATGTTATGATAGAATCGCTAATGTGAAGCTTTGGGAGATAACTTAACCAGTGGACCAAGAGGTGAAGAAAAGACGCTGCCGTTGGATAGGACACACGTTAAGAAAACATGAGAACAATATAACTAGAATGTCTGTGAACCGGAACCAACAGGGGCATAGAAATAACGGAAGACAAAAAAAAAAAAAACACATACACACACATGGAGAAGGGAGCTGGAGAGTCAGGTTAAAAATATGGGGAGCTCATGGTGAGAGCTGCATGCGAAGGATAAAACGACTTGCCGTGAGTTGGTTGAGGATCTATGCTCGATTGTAGCTAGAAAGAAAGAAGAAGAACCCCCCTCCCACCCCATTTTATTTCTGTGTACATTAGTGGGCATCAGGTATGTAATTCTCGACTCGTAGTTTTATTGACCGAATGTCACGTGCTAGATGACGTGGTCACCGCTAACCTCCAGATGGATGCTTGTGAAGAACAATGGTAGGCACAATAATCCGGTACAGGATTTCATAGCACACCAAAGAATCAACAAAATCAGCCAGCAGCTTATGTGTACTACTAAGTACTCGAGAACAGCAGGCTTCTAGGCAGGAGGCCGACCAAGAAAGAGATGGGTGGAGGGAGTAAAAGATACACTACAGAAATGCAGTGTGGCATAGCAAAAGACAAGGGGAAAAAAACATCTAACACCAAAACACCAATATGTGACCGTTAACATCAAGGCTATCCAACTAGGCCAACAGGGGGACCTACATTTTTAAAAAATGGGGACCCTCGCCGGCCAATGTCCTGAGCTCCAGCATAAATCGATAATTAATTCAATACAACTGACAGTGATCAGCGGGCCGCTTGCTAGAGCTCCACGGGCCAGATTTGGTCTAGGTGCCACCAGTTCAATAGCTCTGCTTCACAACATGAGCAGTATATCAGAAGAAAAAGAAGAAGATAACAATTCCTGTTCACATCTTTCACGTGTTTTATGTTTGTAATTCACTGCCATGTGTTATCTTCTACACTTTCACAGACTGACTTGAACGCCGCCACCAGTTCCCCAACACCCACGTTTACAACAATGGTTCCCGCTTGTTCCCTCCTGCTGTTACTTGTATGGTCTGCTTGTTCCCTGAACTTGACCCATGGACGGGTGGTCACAGATGAAGATCCGGACACCGATGAAGAATGGCCGGTGCTCTGCCCACCAGACACTTTCTACAGCTTGCAACAGGTTTGTTGTTATCTCTTTCCGTCCCTACCAGGCAGTGAACCGCATGAGATCAGTAGGGATGATACCACAAAGACAAAAAATGAGTGGGGGAGGGGGGAATTAAGAGGGCACAAGCCTTGTTTAAGGGTATAATAATAATTATTAATACAATTTTAAAAATTATTTTGAGACGAAAGACAAGTAAATATGATAAAGTAAGTAAAGGTCCCTTTTCAACACCTTTAGGTGTATTGGGCACATAGGGCTAGACCTATATTTTTATAGACCAATCGGCACAAGATGGGTGATGTGGTCAGCATCACGCCAGCCGCCTCTACTTCCCGGGACTGCACCCGGTACCCACTCAAGGCTGGGTGGATCTGAGAGCCAAGGTCATTTTTGAAAAAAGTCTGGCTCTGCCAGGGAGCAAACCCACGACCTTTCGAATCGCTCCGCCAAGGCGACTCCCAAATATAATAGTATCTGTTAAATAATATGAATTAGCATGAAACAGTATTTAAAAAGTACTTTGAAAAAGTACATCCTTTTAAGTTGCTGCGAAGAAGAACAAAACAGTAGCAGCAGCAGCAACAAGAAGAAAAGAAAGAAGAGGAACAAATGGAAGAGATAATAAAAAATAAAACATGATGAAGATTATCATAAACACTATCTTGCTTGGAAACTGAAATATTTTGGCTACATCAAATGCTACGGTTGATTGGAAAGACTAGTAATGGAGGGCACAGTACTGGGTAAGAGAGGCAGGGGCTGACCAGCATGACGATGGGGGCAAGATATGAGAGACCTTAGGTAGGAAAGAGTATGAGGATGGAGAGTTGGCGAGAGACTGAGTGTCTTTCACACATGCTGTGACAGGAACAACATTCTGTAATTGACCTGTTACATGCTGACGATGACAACGATGGGGATATTTAGATGCAGCACCATCAACAGCATCTGCAACTGCGCATGTAAGCAGACTTAACTGTCCTTTTGAGTTGAGCTGAGTTAAGAATGGTCACAATCTGGTTATATGTCCGTCTTGCCTTTCCTCTGAGTGTAGTGAGCCGGCCAGACCCTCTGCTTCTGACCACATCTGCCTTGTCATGTATCAAGTCACAATCCAGATGCAGTCTGTCTGCCTGTTTCTTACTCACAGTGCCGGCATAGAGAGCTGAGTGTAGAGAGCCGACCAGACCCTCTGGTTACAGCCAGGTGCCTCATTCTCTGCAGGCTATAATAATCTTGTTTCTCTACTGATTCTGTCGCTTGTTCCCAAAGAGCCTTGACCACATCTGCCTGTCATGTATCAAGTCACCACCCAGATCCAGCCAATCTGTCTACCTGTTCATTACTTACCAGGCCAGCATGGCCTGGAGAAAAGAGCCAAAGTATGCTCACTACCCGTGACCTTCCCAGTTAAGCTTGCCACTCTGCTCGAAGCATCCCTGTCTTCACCTTTTTCTTTTGAGAGAACAGCGTGTAATCAATTCTCCACTCAATCAATCAATCAATCAGGTGCCATCTCCATAATGAAGGTTGGCTGCAATGGATCTCCAATATGCTCTATCTCTTGTTTTGGCTGTACACTCTCTCAGATTGCTGTTTATCAGTCCTTGATGTTGTCCTTCCACTTGTGATGTTCTCTACTCCCTGATCTGTTGCCCTTGACTTTTCCCTGGAGTTTGGCTTTTAAAAGTTATGTTTTTTAATGAGGCCAGAGTATTTCAGTTTTTTCTTTTTTATTTATTTCAGTAATTTATTTTAATTAGCACTCTCTCCAAAAGCTCTGTTTTGACTGCTCCCCCCCCTCCCCCCAGCTCCCATGAAATACAATATGTCTATCCACATTTCCAGAGACTCAGTTGAATTAAGAATCGGCGTCATAGCACTTGAAACACTAGCATAAGCACTCTGTCCCCATCTTCAGCAGCAAGTGAAGAGTTCCAATTCTGATGGCACCAGTAACTGTCTGATTATATATCTTGCCCTTCCCATGAGTGTTGAGCGTCTGCCAGATCCCCTGGTAACTCCTCACAGCGATATTCTCCTCAGACTGTAATGATCTGTTTGTGCCTCCGCACTGTTCACTCGCTCACAAAGAGCCCTCGCAATATCTAGCTTGTCATACATCAATTCACCGCCAAATGATGCAGAGCTGGCCAGTCTATCTGCCTGCTCATTTCCCAACACACCAGCATTACCTGAAGAAAATATCCATAGGATTTTTTTTATTATTATTAAATGACTAGAGACTCAGTTCGATTTTCTAGTTGCTTGTTCATTGTCCAAGTTTCCGCACCATACAGCAGGGTTAAGTATACACAGCATTTGATGCTTGAAATGAGTTTTCCATCTTTCTCTAGTTGTCAGTAATTTGCACAACTTATTGAAGATAATTAGAAAAGGAATAAGAATGAAGGAAGAAATGATTGCAGAAAGGATGAGAGCTGAGCGTCTGGGAAGAAACAGACTAAACACAATGTTGACAACGGTCCTGAAATCCCATGCTATAAATGTGGAATGTTGAATTAAGAATCAATATCATAGCACTTGGGACACCCCTATAAGTGCTCTGTCCCCATCTTTAGCAGCAAGCTAAGAGTTCCAATTCCCATGGTACCAGTAACTGTCTGTTTATAATTGTGAAAGACTTTTCTTATCACGGTTGGATCTTGCTAGTCACACTCACCACTGCCATGGTCTGTGAGTCCCATGCCTCATAGAGCAACATAACACTATAGTCTGTAAAGACAGAAAAGTGCCAATCATTATTGAAGATAGTTGAAGCCATTCTCTTTTCTCTATATTCACTGTTTGTTTCATGAATTTTATTTTATTTCTCCAACAGGACCAGTGTATGACATGTTCCCAATGTCCTATGAACAAGATCATTCTCAGCCCATGCCAAGGGTTACACGACACAAGATGTGGTCCTTTCTATGACTACCATGGTGATTCACCAGCAGAACTATCTGCTACCAAAGGAAAACTCCAGAAGGACACAAGAGGCAGCTCAAATCAATCTGGGAAACAGTCTGACAGTTCAAAGCCAGAAACAGATGATTCGGCATTTGATCGAAATTCTGATTTGCTACCTACATCCTTGGATAGTGCAGTGTTTTCAGATTCCCAATGGAAATCATTAACAATTGCACTGATTGTTCTTGTCTCTGTAGTTTTTGTCCTGGTCGTCACCTTCGTTACTTACTTCTTGAGGAAAAGTTTTATGAATAAGACAAAAATTGTTTGTGAATATAGTTCTCCGCCTGAAATTGTTTAGCTGTGAATGTGTCACTAGCATTTAGTTTTGAATAAAGGTGCCATTAGATAAATTTCCCCATATATTTCCATGAAGATGTCATTTAGTATTATTAACTTTTCTACACACATACGACGGTGCCCTTTTATATTGTCAGTGACAAAACTATAACTTTATTATGTATGACGTGGGATGCAGCGTATACTGTTATCATTGGCAAAAGACACTGTCGTATATTCAAATGAGAATGCCATCTAATATTATAGGTAAATTACACTTTTCTGAGTGTGAATAAAAGTGCCATATAGACATTGTCTTCACAGTCATGAAGATGCAATGTAACTTTATTTTGACTTTGAGATACAATGTGTAAGTAATAGGATGTCATTTAGCATTGGCAGTAAACCCTTTTCATGTGTGAATAAAGGTGCTGCCTAAAATTAGCAGTAGACTCTTTCCATATGTGAATGGAGATGCTAAATAAGACTCACAATAGGCACTTTCTATATGTGAATGAAGGTGCTATTTACTATTTAACATTAACAATAAACATTTTCCATATGTAAATGAAGATTCTATCAAACATGAGCAAAAGATACTTGGACGTTTTCTTAAAGAGGCAAATATCTTTACACAGAAAATTCTCAGAGAGTTTCAAAGAGCCATCAAACAAAAAAGAATTGTTGGGAAGGCACTATTACAACAAAGCAATCAAGAAGAAGAATATGATGATGATGAAGCAGGGGAGAAAAAAGAGAAGGGAACAAAGAAGAAATGAAGATGGATATAAAGAAGAAAATAAATTGCTAGAATTTTTAACTAGGTTACAAATCCGTACATAAATTGGCTGTGAGTTGGAAGAAAGTAGAGGTGCCGAGGAATAAAACTGGCCACTCAAGCATACAATCCTGTGAATGAACCAGCACATATTCCATCCATTTGACAGTATCTGCTGTTTTGGATTTTTTTCCATGTTTCTGTAATTTACAATGATAAGCACATGTATCCATTATTCCTTATATGTTATCGTTCTTCATCTATCACAAATGATGATGACCACTTTTTCTTTCATCTGTCATGAAGAAATAATTGATTGTCTTCGAGTCCGGGGGTGACTTGTATGGGTCTGGAAGGATCCAGGACAATGGGGGTCAGGAAACAGTGGAATGAATGAATGAATTGTGTTATGAATTAATTTAAAGTGAGGAAGAGTTGCGCAGTGTCGTCCACCTCATTTCCTCGCTTGTGTCTATCAAATTCCTTATATAATCTTTGTTGAATAAGCTTTAATTTATTCACCTTGTCTGTATATATTGTTTGGTTTACTTGTTGCACAAATATGTTCCGTATGTACATATGTATATATTGTTTAACAAATACATACAGGCAATGTTAAGTTAGTTCATCTCCTGTATGGATGTACAGAACCACCCCCTAGCATTTGTTGGTTTTTTTGGTTTCACTAAGCAATTTTACATTCACTAGATTACCATTACTTTTTAACAGTCAGCTTTCAGTACCCCTTCTTGAAATCAGCACAAGGTGGTCTGCTGCCAGACTGCCAGCAGCTGGAGTCAAAACAGGGACAACATAATTACGCAGTGCCCAAGCTACAGGCAATAATATGCAGTGTATGTTAAATTCATAAAGTAGGAAATGCTTAAAAGTTAAAAAAAAAAAAAAAATTTAAAAGTACCTTTTTCTATCATCATCATCTCCCTGTGTAGGTTTCGGGGTGTCGTTGTGGGGAAAACAAGAACAGACCACTGTCTTCCCAACAAGCAGGCAGTAAGAATCGACTAACTTGAGGCTTCCTTCAAAGTCGGAGTGCATCTACCTGAGAAGCACATACAGATAAATCAGATATGTAAAACGCATGTGCACGCAACACTCAGGTTCTGGACCAAACTAAAGTCTGGAGGTGGATGAATATCCAGAACTTTCCACCAGAGTTTACAGCCGGTGAACATAAAGAAGAAGGAGAACATCATCATCATATAGCAGACCCTTTGCGGAAAGTCGCTCTCATCACGGTCTGCCTGAAATAAACTCAGTCTTTCACTAGCTCTCCTGCCTCCTGCACTTTTATATCCAAGTAGTCAATTATATCCTGTAATCTGTTCACCTCTTTAAAATTTCACTTTTCATATATTTAGGGTATTTAAAATTTCACTGTTTATATATTTAGAGTATTTCTCTTTCAACAAAAGACAACATTGCAGATATAGATATATATTTTTAAGTAAATAAAAAAAAGGAGGAGAAAAAAAGAGGAATTAGAAATAGTGGTAGAAGAAGAAGGGTATTATCTATTACTTGAATTTTTTTTTTTTTTTTTTTTAATTGTTTCGTTGTGAACTAACTTGAAAACTAGAAGTCATGTGCTACCCTAATTTTATCTACTGAGTTTGTTCTACTGAGTTTGTTCTACTGTACGCTCGCTCAGTCCAGTCTGCCTAGAAAAATCATGAATTATAGTTTTATAGTTGCATGTTTTTTTTTTTTTGTATAACATTTTACAGGCATAGTTGACACATGTTTGTGGGTTGTAAACTTTTGTTGATAGTTTTTTTTTTTTTTTTCCACATACTGTCCACTGTTTTGTTTGTCAGTATGTATGTTTGCGTGTCTGTGTTTTGTGTGGGTGGGTAAATGATCTGTTTGTGTGTGTCAGTGGATACTTGGGTGTGTGGGTTATGAGGTGTTTGTATTTTGTGTCTTTGTCCTGTGCATGATCTACAGTATGAAGATGGTTGTCGCTTCACTGAAAAATGGCTGTTGTTGTGATGAGATAGATGTTGTTGCTTTGAAGTGGGTGCTAAGAATTCAGTAAAACTTAACAAATGTATCACTTACTGTGAGATTGGGATTATGAGTCAGTTATGGTTATCAAGTACATTATCACTTATACTTTATTTTATATTATTATTATTATTATTATTATTACTGACTGATTGATTGACTAATCTTGTGATAGAGATAACTGACTGTGTGATTACTTCATAGATCCACTACAATCCCTGCCAAAGCTCTCACTTCCACCACCCACCCCTGCTTATTTCCCCATCCCTCTCAAAGAATCCAGCTTAATATGAGCAGCTTTTCAAGTATATTTTGGAGTTTTTCTTATAGACTAAATGTCAGTTGGTGGGGGATTTGGTCAGCATCATGCTGGCCGCCTTTACTTTCCAGGACTGCACCTGGTACCCACTCGAGGCTGGGTCGACCTGGGAGTTAAGGTCATTTTTGAAAAAAAGTCCGAACCCACGACCTTACGATCCGCAGGTGAGGGTGGCTTCCTTATTTAGCACTTAAAGTTAATAAAAGGTGATTATTCCCATGTGGATTCCAGTGATCCATTTGGGGGGGGGGGGGGGGGGGGGGGGTGCCGAAAGAGAGAACACGAACCTCTCTCTCTCCCCCCCCCCCCCCACCACCCCCTACCAACCCACCCCAACAAGCATGTAGTAAAAGGGGAACTAATTATGGGTTCACTGATGTTGGATGTGTTGGTCCAAAAGGCACATATATCACATCCCTAGCTGTAAACCACAATGTCCCAAGTATTCTGTTAACTCTCTGAGTCCCAAGGAACGCATCAAACGTTCACAAGTTCCTACCTAGTAGCCCAATTAATGCATAAAGCGCTGATTATATGTCTCTATTTTCTATCCCTTGGGCCTGTGATGCTAAACCCACTGGGACTCAAAGAGTTAAGGACAAATAAAATAGATGAAGAAGAAAATAGTATTTGAGGGCTGTATTGTATGTGTAATTTATGCAAGTTTAAATAACTTTATTTCTATATATTTGTTTTCTTGGGCTTTCGATTTCCATGTATGTATTTTGTTAACCAGTTAATATGCCGCAGTTGTCAATTAATTGTATTTATTATGATAAGCATCTGAAATGATAAACTGTTGGCTTAATAAAGAAAATCATATTTTGCACATATATTTCTTCATTTAATACTGTTAGTGTATGTAAAGTGTCTGTTGTACCCGTGTTTTCTCTCTTTCACACTGACTTAAACTTACCATCTAGGAATTTCCCTAATTCTACCAACCATTCACTCTCCTTACAGGGGGCTGCGTGGTCTCGAGGCATGGTGTCCGCACGTTATCATCCCTGGCAGTTGGAAATTTCCCTAAGTTAGAAATCTACCCAAAGTATTTCAGGATCCTCGCGGGTGCTATAGAGCCTGTGCACTGCACTGAGTTTCTTGGAACTGAGACTTGAGTGAGAAGAAAAAAAGGAGCACTTATGGGCTACTACCCCTGTGCCATGATTTGATCCTTTGTTCAAAACCTTCAACCTTTAGTTCACTGGAATAATTAGATCACGGACATTTAGTAAGAATGCAGCCAGATGAACTACCAACGTTGGCGATACACATGAAAAGAGATTTCACATTGCTGACTTGATTAGTAATTTTGTCCTCTTTCCCCTGTGGGTTTCCGGGGTTCGTTATAGGGAAATCGAAAAGAGCACTTGCCTACCCAAAACGTCGCAAAATTTGGAGTTAGAAATCTGCCCTGCCCCAACCAGTATTTACAGGATCTGTACAAACTCGCCGGGGCTAGGTTCTGGAAGCCTGTGCACTGCACTGAGTTAGAACAATTGGAACTGAGACTTGAGTGAAGGAGTAATTGTTCCTCCCCACAAAGTTTACGCCAAAAAAGTCCTCACGGCTAGAGCACTTACAGAAGAAATTCGGCCAGCTCTCTGAATGTATGGACACATCTATTAGGTTGTTGGATAAAAGGACGCAATACATATCTTTTCTTTTCATGTTCGTCGTGTACCTCACAGTTTTCAGGTTTAATTATCCTTTGGCAGATGACACGAGATTAGATGAAATAACACGGACAAGAATGTATGAACGGGGAATTCAGTGTGGATCTGGCAAGGAGGGACTTCGGCGTGTGTATAATCAGTGTGCTGTCGGAAAAGTTAGCATCTACACCTTACGTCATTTGCTACGGGAGACTGAGAGCATTTATAGGTATACATAGTGTGCT